GGAGAGATCAAAACAAAACAACGGTCACTTATTAGAAGAACAAAACGAGGATTTGTAAAGAAGAGTGTCGGAGGATTTCGATATAAGCCAAGAGGAGACTGGTTTTCCTTTGCTAAAGTAAGGGTTCTTTGCTTCCTTTGCTCTTGTTAACAAGCGTTGGTTTTCACGAGACTCACCGGCGTGTACAATTGTTGGCGCAAGCCAGATTAAAGTGATTATTAAGTTTTGAATATGGATATTTTTCTTACAAAAACGCATCGATTCGCTACAGAAGGCCTTTGTTTAGCCCACGCAGCCGTGTGAGACACTTTTTTTTATGGATGGGCGCTTTTTATTTAACTTCTTTTGGACTGATGCACGCAACACCCACTGAGTGGCATTAAACAGCTTGAAAGATCAAAGGCAATTTTTAATATAACTCCGACTGGATTCGTCTGAAAGAAGAAAGTCATATACACCTAGGATGCCTTGAGGGTGAGTAATTTATGGACTAATTTTCATTTTTGGGTGAACTAACCCTTTAATCATGTTGCCACATAATTTTACAAGTTCTTTAAAGAAACACAGCAAATACAAATGCTTTGCGATGTCACACTTCATTCCAAGAATAACATCCATTCAGTTTACTCCATGTTATGAGCAGGGTTGCCAGGTTTACACAAGAAAACCAACTCAATTGCTACTCAAAACTAGCCCAGTCGTTCCGGGGGGTAAAATACACATTTTATGGTGGGGCTCCCTTGTACATTTCGCATTCCAGGGGCAAAATATCACATTAACACTGTTGCGCGGGTTGAAGCGACCGCAATAAAGTAGCCCGATTCCGCGGGAAAACCACAGACCTGGCAACACTGGTAATGAGCACTTTCTTTCCTGGGGTGTTTTCTAAGCTTGTCTGAGTGACTGACAGTAACCAAGGGGGCGGAGCTTAGAGAAGAGTCTGTTTACCTTGTAAAAAGAAAGAAAGATATTGTTCTGTTTTCTGAAGACCTTCCTTTTTCCCACCAGCTGTTCTTAGGCACGTATCCATACATGTACTTCACAGAGCAACCAGCGAAGGAAGCCATAAATACTTTCCGCCACAAACTAGATGAGGTGACCAACATCATCAAGAGCCGGAATGAGAAATTAACGTTGGATTATTGCTATTTGTCCCCAGACAAAATCCCCAACAGTGTTGCAATTTGAGAAATTACTTGCTATTATACATTTTGCCAGGCCTAACCATAGTGTTTACAGCCAATGCATGCTGGACATAGAAAGAGAGAAGACGGCTCTAGTCAAAATATAATGCATTGTAAAACACACTTTTTTAGAAATGATGTTTGATTGAACTCTGTTGCTGGGAAGTAAGGGATATTACTTTGTAAAGCCTAA